CTTACTTAGCGAGGTACGAAGAACGGGCCCCTGGTGTGATATCTGATCATGCTGTGTTTGTTTTCAGTGTTGTACAGGAAAGGACCACCTTTCTACCACGCCAGGTAGCAAACACACACACAGCGGTGATTCTATGGAGGGCGTATCTTAGGGAAGCATCTTTGTTTTCAAAGTATTTCACATATTTTCTGTTTTAAACTCGTGACCTTTGACCTCTCTGATTATTCTTAGGGTCCATAACTTTGTCTCCATCCTCTTCCTGTAGCTACTCTGTGGTAATAGAACGGGCCGACGATGCATTCAGGGCCTCACCGTTGCGCCCGTTTTCGTGGCGTTCTCTGGCAGCTCTCAGCAGGATTACCGCCAACGTGTCGAAGGTACACGCCATCAGAGCGATCCCGCGTGGACCGAACTCTCTGCTCTTGGTTTCCTCAGAGAACCGCCTGTGTTTGTCTTATAGGAGCTGATGCTGTGCTACATCATCTATCCAGCCGACCTATCAGAGGCTGAGCTGGACTCACCTGTGTGTCTGAGAAAGCTGAAGGTCCAGGTAAGAAACCAGAACTGAAACTATCGATAATAGGGGGGGCTAAAACAGGATCAGATAAAGAAGGATTATTTTGATCTGTGACTCATGCAGAGCTGATGCCTTCTGCACACAGCAGCGGGGGGCGCCGTGGCGACAGCGTGTTTCATTTGGGACATTTTTTCATGACTGACTCTAAAGGCATCGAACTGGCATCTTTCACTCTTTAGGCAGATGCGTGAACCACTCATGGAGCTCCTCTAAGCAGGATAACATGGAGCTGGAATGACCGTGCCTTATTTTAGACGAGGAGAAGACAAAATGTTCAAACTCCCTGTCGTGTCTTGATGTTCAATCATTCAGGGGAGGAAATCCCAAAATGTTGATTCTGTTCACCTGGATGTAGTCAGTGGGAGAACCGTCATTATCAGGTGACTTCTTCAGGCTCAGCTGACTGCAGCCCACCGACCCTATGAACGGGCACCAAACTCATACCCGGCTTCTGCACCTGTCTCGCTTTGTGACTGTTAGTCTGTGCATTATAAATCAACTGATCATGAACCCAGTGTTAGCTCCTCCCACCGAAAACGGTACATCCAGATGAATAGAATCAACTTCCTGGGATTGTTGATGCTGATGTCCTTCAGGTCAGATATTCCTCATTGGACAATATGAAACCTCCGACCACATATCAGTGCTCTGACACTTTAAGTGAAGCCTCTGCTCTTCCTAAACTTCAGGCCTGTGAAGATTCAAGATGTGCACCGTTCAGACACTGATGTCATCAGATCCTACATGGTCCATTCCATGCAGCAGCTTGGTCGTTCTCCCTGTTGTTCTGACCGTGTCCCACCAGGACGAGACCCTGAATCACACCCCGAGACAGTCCTGGAGCCAGTGTGGAAGGACCCACGTGACCTTTGAGACGCTGCCTCTGAACCTGAGAGCCCGATGAGCCGTAGAACATGGATGTAGAAGCAGTGGTTGCCATGGAGCTGAAACCCAGGGTTAGGAGCTGCTTCCATCCCAACATTTCGGTTTTTAGGTCAACTTCATGCAGCTCCACCCCTCAGTAACAGCTGAGGTCATTAGCGTCCATCACAGTGATCAACACTTCAGGAGGAGTGTCAGGGGTCAGTAAAGCTCCTGTTTCAGCAACACTGCCGTATCGACCTGTTATCAGGGATGTTAACATGTTAGCATGAGCTACTTAACTAAGAGCAATTACCCGTTAGCCACGTTAGCCATCTGCAAATAAAGAGTGAGACCAGAGCAGAGCAGCCAATCAGCCGAGCAGAGCTGATGAGGACTCATGTGACTCGATGAATAGAAGCTCCGCCTCAATGACCAAGTTGCTAGTAATGGGGGCGGGGTTTAGGGTTGCCTGCTGGTGAAACACTTTAGTGATGTAGTTTTGTCTCCACAGGAAGTGATCGTCAGCAGGTGGGTTTCCTCTAGAGAGCGAGCGGAGCAGGATGACATCTAATTGGCTGGCGTGAGACGCTTATGAGGTCATGAAATGGTGATGTCACATAAAAGGTCATGAGGCGTCGAATAGAATCTGTGTTTTCCGTTAAAAGACTTTAATGACTGAAGAAAGAAGAAATGTGAGCTCTCTGCCAGCCTCTCACCTGTCCAGCTCCATGACAGGTGGTGATCAGCTGAAAGGTGTCAAGGAACGGTCATTCACTGACCTTTGACCCCAGGCCTTCAGGTACATGATTGGACCTGAATGCCTGTGTTTGAATGAAGTTCACACTCTGAGTTTTTACGTGCTTTGATGAAATGCTGCCATACCTGTGCGTTGCAGGTGACTTTTCTGTTTCTAATAAAGGTGAACACACCTGAATCTGCCTGTTTGTTGTGACTTCTGTATCACTGCACCACAGCACACTCATCATTTCCACACAGCGATGGTTTGTTTGAAGGGTTTTATGTTCTGACCGTGCAGATCAAAGGACGTAGAACCTCTTCGAGAACTCACGTGAGAACAGGTGTGACTGAGTGTCTTTAAGTCTTCATCGTGATGATGATGAAAGCAGGTTCCCTCTGCTCTGCGGCTCCATCATGGAGCTCATTTGAATCTTTTCTTTTGGTATTCATCCTTTTATTTCCATTCACATGTTTTGTGATCATGAGAGATTGTTGCAGCTCTTCCACGTGTGGATACTGTTGAAAGGGAGCTGACGTCGTCATATTTTTGGATTGGGTAGCCTAGAAACGGATGGAAATAATAAAGACATTTTTATAGTACTTTAGTATTTTGAATTCTTGGCTGCGGTGTTTGTGAACGGCAGATTCAGGGAGGCGTGTCCCGAGCGAAAGGTGTCGCCCTCTGATTGGCTGTTTATTAACGTGGTCAAAGTCAAACTGCTTCAGTTTGTCTCACAGTTTTTAGTTTCTGTAACTCCGCGGCTGTTTTGTTTTGATCTCGCTGTATCCAGATCTCGCGAGAACACTAGCCCTCCCGTCGTTCGCCATTATAGCTAAGAGAAGCGTCCCCCGGACGAGCACCGGAGAGGCTCCGTTACCCGGACACAGACACGTTTTGCTCGCTGACACCCGCCGAGCCACTCTGCATCCAGGTAAGCCCGGTACTGGCCTGTCCGCCGGGCTTCAGCCCGACTCGGAGCCCGCTAGCACGGAGAAACGGCGGAAGGCCCGCTCCTGTTAGCATGCTGAGCTTGCTGCTTGCTGTGGAGGACTCAGGTGACACTCACCTGGAGCCTCCCGGCCGAGCCCGCGCAAACACCGGACTCACCGATGGTGGTTTTCCGGCCTGGGGGGGGGGTCACTGAGCGCGTGTTCACCTGAGAGGCTAACGTTAGGCTCACAAACATGTGCTGTTCACCTGTCTGAGTCATGCTACGCTGAGCCTCCGGGAGTCCAGGTGTAACGTTTACCTGCTGATCCCGTCATCAGATGATGTTTTCTACACTTTAAGCAGATTCTGACAGGCGTAACAGTGACGTCAGACACATGTGTCGCCAGGTATTTTTGTTTACCTGTTTGGTCACCATGGTAACTGATACTGATAAGCTGGTAATGGATTTAACTTGTACCTATTGGACAGCTGTGACAGGTGATTAAACTCTTTATCTCGGCGTGTGCATGTGTAGGTGCGCAGGTAGAAAGATGGCAGATGACCTGGACATCGAGGCGATGCTGGAGGCGCCATACAAGAAGGTGAGAGTCTGTTTGTCCTTTGCTCATGAGACTGTCAGCCGAACTCTGCTGCTCAACCCACTGCTGCTCACCTGCAGAGTTCTGCAGAGTAATTGGTCGCGCAGCGAGCTGGAAAATGAACAAAACTATGTCAGCTCAAAGTTCATTTGTAACTCCTCCTTCACCTACTGGCAGCGTTAAGGCTCTTTGACATCACTTCCTCTCTGGACCTTCCACAGGGATCTAGACTGACACCAGGGCTGCGTTCCAAAAGTCCATCCCATCTCCTATTCCTAACCACTTTCACTTTTCCGTGTTGAGGACTTAGGAAAAGAGAGGAGCCGTGCACAGAGAACTGAAATGACCTCACGCTCTTCTCTCATTAATAGCGTGGCGCCAGATGTCTGCCATGTTAAAACTGCAGACGTGCAGACAATGGACTACAAAATGTGCATCTTACTTCGCCACAACGTGTTGTGACCCTGATGTTTTATGGAGGTCATAGAAATGGGAACAGCCCGTTTAAAAATGCCCAAAAGAAAAAGTCTGTGAGACAGAGTTTACTGCAAACTGCTCAGACTAACAGTGAAAGAGTCCCGCCTTGTTTAATAGAGTAGATGGAAATCGGATGAGTGCGTGGGCGGCTCGTACAGTAACATGGTAAGTGGGACGGCTCGTGATCAGACGGTAAATGGCGTTCCTGTACTTCTGCACATCGTCCAGGTGACCTGTTCACACAGACTTCAGTTTGTAATGATGCAGCTCTCCTGTAGAGGAATCCCGAGCTCCACCTGAGTCCTAATCCTCAGACCCTCAGACCTTTGCACAGTGCTCACTGGTTTCTGTCACAAGAGTTATTTGTTAAATCCAAAGCAGACTGATTCTCCTTCAGCCTCCTCTCATGTATCTGCCTCGCTGTTTTCAGAGACAAACACTTGAACCTGAGCTCACACTGGATTATTTTGGTTAGCGGGCCTGCAGCGCCCTCCCTCGCCCTCCCTCGCCCTTCAGATATTTTCCTCAACATGAAAAACCTCAGCTCAGTTCAATTCCACTTTATTTGTAGAACACCAGCAGTCGTATACAGGTGCTGTAAGGTAAGGACAGTGGCACAGAGACGCCCCCCCCCGTGTGCACACATGTGGTGACAGTGGCAAGGAAAAACCTTTCAACATGAAAAACCTCTGGCCGCTAAGCCCCTCCCCCTGTCTCCTCTCTGATCTTCACTCATGTCACGGTCGAGCCGTTACGTTTGTGATTTTCCTCCGTGTTCATACATTTTTGCGTCGACCAATAAAATGTCACCGTTTTTTAACGCTGGGTTTCATTTGCTTAACATTCACCGTTGTTTATAAATGATGATGAATATGAAGACGAAGCACAGCCCGCCTGCTGGCTGCTGGTTCAGCTGATACATGATCATGTGACCAAACACTGCCTGAAATCCGCTGTGGCGCTGTGAGCAGCAGAGCGCGGCTGACCCTGATGATGATGTTGATGATGACGCGTCCTTCACATAATTAAACGCACATCTATCTCTCTTTGTAGACTTGCCTAACGATTTCTCACCTCTGCTCCCCTGAAAGCCACTGTGATCTGTCTCACTCAGAAGGTAGTAAAAGTCCCCATCATGCATTGCTGTACTCTGGTGCCCATGGTAACATGACTGTAGTTCCCTTGGTTAAACTGTCACCTGCTTCTGGTCCGACCCCCTCATCCCTCCCCCCTCCACTGGTGAGGTAGTGCAGAGGATTCTGGGAGATGAAGTCGAAGAGTTAGCTTAGCTTAGCGTGTGGGTGGTCAGGACGTGGGGGTGGGTGGGGCCTACCTGTGTGCAGGTGAGCAGCAACGTTGAGCAGCAGCTCTGCAGGAAGTGCACAGTGTGACCTTGCACAACACAGGTGTGACTTCACACAGGTGTGCAGCTATTCAGTTTAATCAGATATTATTTATGTAGTGCAGGTGAGGGCGTGTCCTAACCTCTGGTTCTGGTTCTTGGCTCTGAGTGACTAATGCCTCTTTTCCACTACTACCTGCTCCACTCAGCTCGTTTTCTGTTGTTTTCCATTACAAGCAGCACCTCGACGTGTTGCTATAGAAACGTGGCCGAAAGTCTCGTAGTGTCATTCGTATGTGACACGATCAACGTAACAGCGGAGGATGGCGTCCTCGCCGCTGCACGGCGGGATGGTTTGTGCAGCGTTGTCTGGTTTAAAAATATGGCGCGTTTGATTTTTGTGTGGGAGACGCTCTTGTGACTCATCGAGTGATGCCGCTCACTGGCCAATTGCTGGCATGCAGTCTGATGACATCACAGTTTTGGATCTGCTCTCCTGGATCCCCGGCCAAGTAGGTATTAAAAGAGTACAGTACCAGGTACTTTTTTGGTACCAGGTACTTTTTTGGTACCAGGTACTTGCAGTTCCTGGAAAACCCTAAAACCCGAGCGAGTAGAGAAGGTGCGAGTGGAAACAAGGCTGCAATCCTCCTGTCTGCTTCAGGGCGTCACAGGAGTTTCACACACCTGAAGAGCAGCTGGACTTTGGAGTGTGTGTGTCTGACACACACACACACACACACACACACACAGCCCCTCCCCCTCCTGTTTGAATGACGCTCATTAAACTGTTTATATTTTCTCCTGTCCCCCCCACCCCCTACACTCCCTGACACCACCTCATGCTGTTCTCTGTCGACCCCGCTTAGGAGGACGCCAAAATCTCGAGCCCCAACGGACAGGACGAGCGCTCAAAGAGGTATTCACCTGCCTGCACATCCACAGCCAATCATCTGCCTCCTTCTCCTCCTATCCCAGCATCCTCCTCTGTCACATCAGTCCTCTGCATATCCTCCTTCACCTCCTCTTCTTCTCTTCCTCCTGCTTGGCAGCTCCATCTTAGGACGGCGTGTTGGCGCCACGTCAAGAACAAAATTGATCATTTTGAGAAAAAAGGCGAAATGTGGAGATGACTATTGTTTCAAGACGGCCGCTGTAGGCGCTACACAAAGATGAGCGAGACAAACTCCTCAGCTCTTATTGTGATGCAACATCCATCCCGTTTACTGCGCCAGGCTGTAACCATTGGTAACCGTGCATCTGCACCTTCTCTTCAGCGTCCTGACGCCGATCACCACGCCGCGTCTGTGCGCTATAGGAGAAATCACTTCCTTGTTACTAAAACAGAAGTATGACCTCACGACCCTGGAGGCAGTTTGTCCTGAAACACCAGCACATCTCCACGTTGTCTTGACGTG